TGTTTGCAGAACCCTTCATGGGGACCGGCTTCTCAATTGAGAACCGTCCCTTTATTTCTTTTAGGATAAACTGGTTATCCTTGTTAAACACATACTTTGGGGAGTATGGTTTGAATTCTTTTTTCTTTTTCTGGGCCGGCTGTTTAGAGGAATCAACCGCCCAGACCCCTTTTCTTTTCTCATCTTTGTTAGACGACTGTTTCTGTCGTCCTTCTCTTTTGTCGAACCTTTTCCCGTCCGACTGTTTTATCGTACACAGATCAGTCGCCTGTATATAGGCTTCTGCTTCAATCAAGGCCTCTTGAAGAGTCGCCACCCTTTTTCGAACTAAATCAAATTTGAAGGTAGACCCGTCTTTGAGACCTCTAAAAAAGTCAGTATAAGCTACCTCATCCGGTAACCCTTGAATCTGTATTCTCATCAGGTTGAACCGCCTGATGTAAGAACGAAGCCCCTCCTTCTCGCCCTGCTGAATTGTTCCCAAATCAAGGGTCGTTTTCTTCGCAGGGATGTTCATGGCGAAGTTGGAGGCAAATAAGTAAGCAAGCGTCCTGAAGCTGTTTACACAACCAGTCGGCAGGTTGCCGAACCATTGCTGTGCGATTCCCTTGAGAGTCGCTGGGAAACACTTGCATCAAGTGGGATCATCCAACCCTTGAAGGTACATCAGGTTGGTGAATGCCATCAGATGGTCTTCTGGGTTAGTAGTGCCGTCATAGGCGCCTACTAGTACATTTTTTACTTTGGCCGGCTGAGCGGCTTCAGTAATTTCCTTGGAGAAGGCCGACGGCTGTTCACCAAGTCTAAGCAACCGTAGCTGCCAGTCCATAGGTTGGACGTTTTTTGCTGCAGGTCCACCAAATGGAGGTGGCTGCATAAAATACTGTTGTTGCGGCACAAATGGTAAGTTTGGTACCGCCTGGGCACTATGAAAGCCGGACTGACGGGAGGTGCCGCCTGACTAACTCTCATGGTACGAATGAGTATGCCTCATCGAGGCATTTCGCAAACTGTCTTGAAAATTTGAAGTAGAAGCCGACTCTGACAATCGGTCACTCTTCTTCTGCTCTAGCAGTAGCCGAGCATCTGTGAACGTTTGCTTTGACCCGTCCGCCTGAATATGACGAACCGGTTTCCTATTTCCCGTAGGATAACGGAATTTTGTGAAATCAAGAGCAGGTGGCTCCCGCTTCTTGGATTTAGGATGAGGAGTCGCCTCTCGCCCTTGAACTGGCTTCCTCTTCAGTGAAGTGGAAGGTTTTTTGGCCGACTGCTCTTTGACTGAAGCAGGCGGCTTTTTGTTGATCAACTCTTGAATCTCTCCCTTGAAGTCCCTCATGAAGGTCATGAGTTCGTTCCTTGTGATGGGAGCAGACCCATCAGTCGGCTGTTGCCGAGCAGGCGGTGCGCCTGCTGGCTCGCTTCCTGTTTGAAGATGCTCCCGTTCCCTCCTTTCGGTATGACGGGTACGTCGGGCCCTTAGGGTCCCGTCTAGAGCTGTATGAGTTTCCACTTCAAATTCACTTTCGGTGTCATGGTCCGACTGAACTTGAGGGTCGTTTAGGGGACGCCTCTCTTCAGGAGTCGGTACAGACTTGGATGCCATCTCTGAAGTACTCTCCCCACAGACGGCGCCAAATGTTTCGGGGTTTTCTGATGTCCTGCGGGAGAGTTACAATTCCGAGACTGGAACCGGACGCCTGTACCTGCAAAATAACGGAGACTCCTGAGAGCTCCGCCTCCAACGGTCAAGTTAGTACCTGATTAAGGAGTAATTAATACGGAAATTAAAGTAATAAGACCTCTCTAGGTGAGAGTGTTTAATGTTGGTAATCTGCTTTGTTAGCGAGATTAGCCGGTTATTAGTGTTCCGTAATGTTTCTGTTCTTCTCTGTTCTTCAGGTGAGATTAATTGCTTGATCAATTGCCTCTCAATTGCTTGATCCCTTTTAATGAGGATTAATTAAGTATTTATAGTCTTGAGAAGCGTGCCACTCTCTAGGTTTAGGGTAAACCTAGGGCTGACCGGGCCTCTAGACAGGATTGGGCCTTGTTGGCCGGTTTTCCCATTTGGCATGGGTGGACACGTGGCGTGCCTCGATTGGTCCGTAGAGGACGTATCTGTGATTGACACGTGGCAGGCTCCTATTGGCCTTCGTGAAGGACACGTGGCGGAACCTGGTTGGTCCACTTGTCAGACGGTGATTGGTGGATAAAAATCCCCTAATCAAACACGATTAGCAATCCAAACCATTCAAAACATGATTTAAAAATCAATCATTACAAATACTTTTATTAAAATCAATACCTTCAAACATAATTTATTTCAAAATCATAATTTAAATCAATTTAAGTCAATCGCCAATCAAATCATGTAAAACATGTTATTCAAACCAATCACTTTCAAAGGTATGTATCTAGCCACCTAAACGTACCTTGATCCTTGCTAGAAAAAACACACAAAAGAACCTCAAGAACCTTGATCGAACACACCCTAAAAATAAAATATAACCTTAATCAATATAAGATTAACAAATAATTAAAAACCCTCAACTATATGTACATGAACCTTTTAAATTAATTTCTCATAAACATCATTAAAAATATAATTTTATATAATTAAAACTACTCATAATAATTATTTATAAATCCTCCATAATAATAATAATAATAATAATAATAATAATAATAATAATAATAATAACTATTATAATAATAATAATAATAATAATAATAATAATTATAATTATAATAATAATAATAATAATAATAATAATAATAATAATAATAATTGAATAAGAGAAGAGAATAAGAAAAGATAAGAAACTAAGGAAAAGAGAAGAATTGGATTTGCGTTGGAAAGAATAGGCAGAACTTGCAGAGGCTATAACTCCTTTGATATAACTTCGAATTGGATGATTCTTGAGCCTAACCTCAAGTATTGTTCGAGAGGAACAATCTTCTGTGAAACGTCAATACCCCAAAAACTGATCAAAAGTGCCCGAAAATTGGCTTCAAAGATAAACGGGATGATTTGTGTAAAATTGAGGAGAAGAAAAGAAGAGAATTGGTGTGAGGAATGTGAGAGGTATGAAGGGGTATTTATAGGCTAGCTCATGCAAGAATTATGGCAAGAGAATGTGGGAAGAATTATTACAAGTAGGGTTTATGGGATTACTTGGAGAAGTGAGTAAAAGAATTAAGGAAAGTTTGGATATTAAGGTGATTGTGTATTCTTGAATATGGAAGGTATGTATGTCATGAAAAATAATAAGGAAATTAGAATTACTTGGGGAATAATTAAAAAGAATGAATGGCAAGAAAATATGATGATTAGATTTTAAAAAGATGGAGAATTAAAATTAAGGAAAATATAAGAGATTTTGTGAGATAATTAAAAATATAATTTACCAAAATAATTTCCCCCAAAATAATACAAGAGGGTCGAAAATCTTGAGCTTTCCATAGCTTAGATTTTCGGATTCCCTTTATAGTATTTAGGAAGATTTTTGTTCGGTTAACGGAACAGTTGCAAGTTCCACTCCAAACTCATCATTAGTGTAGACATGCTTTCACACCAAACTACAAGTCCAACATGTTATTAAACAACATGTGAGACTTTCAATGCAGTGATAAGGGATGCAAGGGACAAGCCTATCCTCACCCAGATGGAATGGATGAGGAGATACATGATGAACAGAAATAAGGACAAGTGGGAGAATTCAAAAGAGATGATTGGGAACTTGGTGCCATATGTGAGAAGGTTGTTGGAGAGGATTGAGTATGTAGCTAGATCATGTGTAGTGTAGCCATCTAGGGGGGATACTTATGAGGTGCAGCTCAAAGATGATTAGGTGTTAGTTGACTTAGGGAAAGGCACTTGCAGCTATTACCATTGGGATTTAACTGGAATCCCATGTGTGCATGCTTATGCTTGTGTATTGGACAGCAGGGCAGACATTGAAGCCTATGTGCATAAGTACTACAATCTGGAAAAGTGCAGGGAAGCATATGAACCTGCTCTCCAGCCTATGCCTGGACCAAAACACTGGGATAGGGTTAAGATGAGGGAACCACAGCCACCTGCACTCAAGGTTCAGCTAGGCAGACCAAAGAGTAAGAAGAGAAAACTAGAACATGGGGAGGGATCTTCTGTTGGGCCAAGCACAAGTAAAAGGAAAAATCAATGCAAGAACTGTGGTGGCTTTTGACATTATGCAAAGACATGCAAGCTCCCTACTCAACATGACACAGAAATCCCAAAGCCAGCAGGCAGACCAGCTGTTAACACAACTTGGATGGAAGAGCAGAGAAAGGTGAAAGAGCTAAGGGATGCTAAAAAGGTATAGCTATTGTACTCACATTTGTGTTTGTGTTTTCTCCCCTAAACTACATTTAACATTGCCTTGTGCATGGTTTTAACAGGCTGCAGTTGGAGCAGGATCAAATAGCATAGGCAATAAGAAGTTCCCCCAGGAGCAGCCAGGTTGCCTACCTCATAGAAAACAAGTTGCTGCTACAGGACAGTCAAGTCAGCCCCTGAAAGAGCCTCCACCTAAACAAAGCAAAGCCAAAGAAAAAACCAAAACACCATCAAGTCAACCACCACCAACTACTGTACCAAGTGATCCTGTTACTAGAGAAAAGCTGCAAACTAGGAGCAATATGAGTCTGACTCAGTGATGTTGTGTTGAATTCAGTGCTTAGAACAATATTATCATTTTCTGTAAGGCAATGAATGCCAAGTAACACATGCTTTTGAAGAATAGTAGTTTAATTGCATAGTTTTTGAACATCTGCACAACACTACTTTTGTAAGGTATTGAATGCCACTACAATTCATATATTTGAAGGGAAAGTGTTGTTTGGAAAAGTTCTTTATGCAATTCAAAGCTTCAAAGTTAAAATTCACATACATTGCATTGTTTTAAGCAAATAAAACAAAGTACATAGATTAAACAACCCTTAAATTCATTACAACTTCCAACTAGATGTAAAAACTAAACACCCCTAAGTACTACACCTAGCCCACCGACTACCATTGCCACGACAATAATAATGCTAACAGAAACAAGGCACCCAATGGAGGACCTCTTTCCTTGCTTCACTTCTCTGTTCATTTTCTTCCTATCAGCAGTTAAAGCCTTACACCTCATGTTAAGATTGTCAATTTCGTTCAGCAAGCACCTCCTTTGTCCACTGATATCATCAACCTCCCTTTTTATTCATTTACTTCAGCCTTCAACAACTTCTTGTCCAACAACAGGTTGTTAATAACTTGTGTTTGCCACTCTGTTCCATCAAGTTGATCAACCCATTGAAACGCCTTGCACCCCCTTGTTTCTGCAATTGGATCATAAAACTTACATGCCCTGAACTTCCTCCCTGGATTCTCCCTTGTCCAGCTAGTTAGCTTGCCCATAGGAACACCACATTGGCATTTTGGTTCCTTTGAAGGAGATGAACTTATAATTGACATAATCTGCAATCGTTTCACACAGAAAAACACATTTAATGATGTATATATGAACTAATTGTAAGTCTACAACACTAATTTTGACAATAATTTTGTAATACAAAAATCCCCAATTTTGAATTTACATGAACCCTAATTCTGAAATTGTGCAAATTAACTAATATATGCAGTAATTAACGTTGTCAATCAAATTATTTGCATACATACCTAATACCAGACACAATCTCGATTGCTTGGTTGAATTCCCCTCTTTGGATTGTTGCAAATTTCGTAAGAACTTTAGATTCGATGACAAGATGAAGCGCAAAAGGGAAGAAGAAGCAGAATATCGTGACTACTTATAACAGAAATAAAAAAAAGTATCCATTGGAGTGGGCCCTTGCAACTGTTCCGTTAACGGAACTTGGATTTAGGTGGTAATTTCTAAATTTTATTTTTTTAAGTGGTGTTAAAATAAAAGTTTTTTTTTTTGTGGTGTTAAAAGCCATTTTTGGGAGTTTTTGTGGTGTTAAAAATCAAAATTTCCTTATTAATTATTTGAAAATAGTGCAAAGCAGAGCAGATTTGATTTAAGCAGAGCATAGTAGAGCAAGGCTGGGCTCAGCAGAGCAGAGCAGCTCTAAAGAACGGGGCCTTAGACCACCTTCATCTCCTAAAATTTCTCCTTACTCTTGATTCAATGTCAAATATAAAGCGACATTCATTTCCAAATTTGAAATTTAAATTTTTCAATTGCGAAATATTTGAAAATGAAATTTTCAAAATTTTTGAGGTGGGCCAAGATGGAGCTAAATTTTCCATCAATAGAATATCACTAAAGTGTTGTCTATGTGGAATATACATAGATTATATCTATGTGTACCCTTACCCCTAGAGGTGGCCAGTGGGTCGGGTTGGACCCAATCCACCCTGACCCGCACGGCTAGTGGGTCAAATGGGTCATGCCCGGATCTGACCCGGCATAACCCGTCTGCAAAGGTGGTTGTGTCGTGGGTCCAAAAAATGTAGCCCAACCCATTTCGACCCATGTGATTCAGTCCAACTCATTTAACCCACCCAACCCACGAACCCACCCCATTCGACTCATCATGCACGGCCCACCCAACCCACCAACCCGCATAACCCACCAGCCCACCCAACCCATCAACCTGCATAACCCACCAACCCAACCCGCCCAACCTGCCAACACAGCCCACCCAACCCCGCCTAATCTAACGGTATAATTGTATGATACAATTTGTATCAAAAATCCAAACTAAGTGTAAAAATTCAAAACTAAAATTAGTGATTACTTTAATTTGTATAATTGTATGATACAATATATTAACAAATGCAAATCTGTTTTGGGAGACCTTTATGATCATTATGCATTTATTTATGGTTTTGATTTAGCAACACCAACTAATACTAGCACTTCCGATTCTAGATTTGGTTTTCTTGATAAAGTTATGAAAAAAAAAAACACAAAGCATCTACATCATTCTCATCATCATCTTCTTCAACACTTGCTATTAATGATTATTTGTCATATCAACACGAGACCAACTGTAACACCCCCGATTTACTAACTAATAATAAATAAGAATCAAAGGAAAAATAAACAACCTTTAAATAAAATTTACGGAAGCATACACCTAAGCTAAATAGGAGGTATTACCGCCACACTAAACAACCTGTCAAGTGTTAAGGCTTATAAAATCCCAATAATTACAACTCAATTAATAAACTAGGTGAGCTATTTATACAACCTTATAGACTCGTTATAGCATACTAATCGAAACACTTGAGCTCCTTTAGCTACGATCACTTGTTAAATCTGCTTAGAAAATCTTGACTGCTCACCATTAAGGACAAATTCCAAAATAGATCGTCGCAGGACCACCATAAGAAAAAGACATGGCCACAAACACGAGTAGCACAACAAAACAAACAACACACATGTCAGCAAAAAGCTGAGTAATCATCACATATCAAAATACAGAGTATAATAGAATAATTAACAATACTAGCTCAATTAAATAATGTAGTTTAAAACTACATTACACATTGTACTCTGAAAGTAACCTTTGTCAAACCCAACCTCGAATAATAATACGAACCTTTACTCAACTCATCTATCCCTTAAAGTGTGACACGCTCTTTGTTTTTATACTTAGCCTTGGACACGGGTAATTCAAATAACAAACCAATAAGTATAAAAACTTGAATACTATCAATAACCAGAAAAACACCTTAAACTAGACCACATATGGGTCAATTCCCACTGTAGGGGACCATAGAAAAATAAATAATAAAGATTGTACCTCATTCTTAACTCATGATTATCATCCTCTTACCAACATGCCAAGGATTAAGGTATATAACGCCGAGCCTCAAACCAAGAATAAAATAATAATTCTCAACCTTTTGATCTCATACGTCGATCAAATAATCATTAACAAACTAATAGATCATATCTCCATAATGGCACATGTTCCCAAATAAAATAACATAATAATTCGATTCATAAATATCTCAACTCTTAGGGAAATAATACTAATAATCAAATATAATCAAATCTCAACCCAAAAATAATACTCTACATTAATAACCCTAATGCCGCAATAATAATACTCACTAGAGCGACAACATTAAAAACCTTAACATTAATAATACAATTAATCATATACAACAATAGTAATAAGACATTAAATTTGATCAAAACATATAATTATATACATGAATCATAAATATGAATAGCAAATCATACAACAATTATATAAAACAATTATACTATTAAACAACTCCAAAAATCGTGTGATTACCTTCGACAAAGTACATTGAAATAGCAATATTCAAGGCAAAAATTGCGCAGCTTTTCTATTGACCTCACCATGTAATGATGTAAATCATCATCGTCATCATATCATTATCATATCTAATGTTGGTTTGGTTCGTTTCACGCACAAAGGAATCGGCAAATTTTTTTTTTTCTTTGATAAAATATGTTTGATGGTTAATAATATTTGTAGGGTTTAAAATAGTTTATATACTCTTAAAATTATAGAGTCTTATTTAAACAAAATAGGGTTTTAAAATTTTCCGAACCCTAAAATAAAAATATGAGATTAGTAAAGTTATTTAATAGATAAAATAAACTATTTTATTTTTATATAGAATATATAATATAAACTCATAAACTATTCGAGTATTACACCAACAACAGCTTTCAAATTATAAAATGGTGGCAAGAACATTAAAAAAGTTTTCCTATATTGGCGAGAATTGCAAAAGATATATACTTGCAGTTCCTGCTTCATCTGTTGCTTCCGGGTCTGCTTTTAGTGCAGGTAGAAGAGTGTTAGATGAAAAAAGATCTCGCTTTAACTCCGCAAAGCATTCAAATTTGTGTTTGTAAGAAAGATTGGGATCAAGCTGAAAGAAGAACTCAAGGTTTAAAGCAAGACGAAGACGATGAAGATGATCCGTGATGATATTGGAGTCGTCAACGGATGATGCAACAAACATAGGTGGCTGGAAAAGTCTTAATCAAGTACGCTAAGAAGTATGTGGGCTTTGATTCTTTCGAGATACGTAGGCAACTAATTTTTCGAAAATTAGAATTTAATTGCAAAATTAAATTTTAATTTTCTAAAGATAGGTCCAAGCCCCCCCTCCCCCAAATTCCAAAATAAGTACAATATAAGAACTATGTTGGCTTTGATTCCTTATTTTGTGATATAGGGATACGTAGGCATCTTAGTTAAGAGCAAGCCATCAAATTGTTAATTTTGTAAAAATTAAAACACCTTCTAATCCACAAACCCACCCGACCCTAACACACGAACTCACCCGACCCTAACACACTAACCTAACTCAACCCGAACCCACCTAACCCACCCTTCGACTCACTCTAACCCACAAACCCAACTCGACCCACCCACGACCCGTCTAACCCACGAACCTAACCCTGGTGTGTCCAACTTCTCCAACCCAACCCCCGACCCGGCCCACCCTACCTTACGTGTGTCGTGTCGTGTGTCATAAAATCCCAACCGGCGACCCACCTAACCCTAACACTGCTCGCACGACTCGCACTGTGGACACCTCTACTAGTTACCCCCATATTCCCACCCCTAGTGTTGACTTACGAGTTTTGTGAAGTTCCCACACTTCATATTGATATTGGGAAATGATATTTTACAAAAGTAAAACCACGTGTTTTAAAACAACTAATGCGTGTAATAATTCCCAACGCACTATTTTTTTCCACTTTTTTGTCCAATAACTACACTACTTCACTCGCCTTCTCTATCTAAAATCTCAACTCTTAAAATTCCCATATAACCATGATCAATCAAATCTCAACCGTCCAATGATCAAATCACTACCCACCGACCACATAATTAATCTAGTCTTGACCACACCATATAACCTCCTTTTCTCCCACCAATTAAAATTGGCTGCTACTATGACTATCATTCCATGACTCATTGACTCAATTTCTCCAACTTTTCTCTCTCCTAGAAATCTTGATTCAGTAATGGCAAGTTACAAGACTGAAGGAAATGATTCAACTGAATCCCTTTTTTCTCCTTACAAACTCGGCAAATTCTCTCTTTCCCACAGGTACTTTTTTTAACTAGTTTCCCCCTTCGAGTATTGATAATGATGTAGACGGGATATGATCTCGGGTTTTGAGTAATGACCCGTTTATTATAATTTGTTGTAGAGTGGTATTGGCGCCTATGACAAGATGTAGGGCGATAAATGAGATACCAAACGATGCGTTGAAAGAGTATTATGTTCAGCGATCTACTCCTGGTGGTTTCTTGATTTCTGAGGGCACACTCATTTCTCCTACTGCTCCTGGGTATTTTTTTTTCATTTTTATTTTTTAATTTTCTTATAATTTATTTATTTTTGAGTATGAATCATGTGATGATTTGTCATACAAATGTGAAGATCATTTGAATAGTACAATAGTAGTTTATTGCTTGTTGATTGTTGTTATGAATCTATGATGCACTATGTTACATTGTTGTAGTTGATTTGAATTTTTCCGCATTTTTTTGTTTAACTAGTTTTATGACTGTGCAATGGTTATGAAATAAAGCAGGCAACATAACATTAGGGATGGTGATTAATAGTACCTGTCAAAAAAAATAAAAAGGTGATGAATAGTAGAGAAAACAAAATTAACTAGGCAATGAATAATATGAAGTAAAAAAATTGATGAAACATAGCTACTTCATACTTCCTCCGTTTCTTTTTAATTGACATGTTTCTTTAGTCACATTTGCCAATGCACAAATTCAATCATTAATATCTTTAATTACCGATAAGCAAAAATTATAAAAAGTTGATATTTTGAAAATATACATGACGAATCTAAGAAGATCCCACTTGACTATAATTTTCTTCGCATATAAATCATAAAACATGGTAAAAAAAAAAGTATGTAAATATTGCTAAAGTCAAAATGTTTCAACTAATAAAAAACGGAGGTAGTATTAGTTTTGGTTTTCATTTTACTTTTGGGAAATTCTCACCCCAAGTTGTGTGCTTTTGACTTTTATCATTGATAGCATAGCCAAGTTTGGATTTTTTTAAATACCAAAATCCGTAGTTATGTTACTTATGTATTTTTGACTATTTACATAAGTTGACATTATTAATAAAAGTTTTTGTTTAAAGTGACATCCATTAATCATAGTTTCCAATAGAAGAAATAAGCAGCAATTCTACCACTGGAAGAAATTAGTAGCAATGCTACTAGAGTGATACATGACTTGTAGGTTCGTGTTTTTATAGACTAGGTATAGATTAATCAAATAATACTCCTTAATAATTATTTTGATCATTAAGGGTGAATTTTGATATTGAGGAAACATGAGTTACATGTCTGAAGTAGGTGCACAATTAGAAATTTAAGAGGTTTGATGCATATATTAAGAAAAGGATTGTGAAAAAAGTTCAGTGTTACAAAAGCTGAGAACTTTGACTTTGGTAAACCTTAATGTTTAGAAATTTAGCAATCAACACTGGCTAGAATAATTCAATATGGTAATATTAGCTAGAGTTGAAAAGAAGATTCATTAAGAGCCGCTGAAAATAGAATTTATAATGCTGTTATTCTGCTAATTGGATGTTACCTGAAGGCTGAAGCTATTTGTGGTTGACATATGACTATATGAGTTTGTTGTTGCCTGCTGCTATAATGCGAATGGTACAGAAAAATTGCAAACTAAGCTGGTGTAAATATATTACTCGTAGTGAATATATGAATGAAGAGTGGAGGTAAAAAAAGCATTTTGCTGTTTTCTGCCTTTCTGGATTTTGAAATGTACAGGCTTAATCTCGTGCCATCTTAAGAAATAGATAGGCCATGAAGCTGAGATGGGGAGGTGGAGATTAGTAGTTAGGCATACTCCACCCCTTTCTGAGTTTTGTCCCTGGCTCTAAGGCATATGGCAGCATTCTCTTCTAGCAACTGTGCTACTTGAGAAATCATCAGTTAACAAACCCAGACTAGAAAAACCAAATTGGTTTTCATGTTCCCTTCCTATGCTTTTACAGTTAGCTAGTAACATTCTTCTGGTTTTAGCTCATTATCTGTGTACATATTATGGTCTTTCTGACAAACATATTACTGCCGTCTGTCTGACAAAAACAGAATTATGCTGCAGATTTCCCCATTGCCCAGGAATTTACACTAATGAGCAAGTCGAAGCATGGAAGAAAGTGGTTAATGCTGTTCATGCCAAGGGTGCAGTCATCTTCTGTCAGTTGTGGCATGTTGGTCGAGCCTCCCATACAGGTTCACTATTAACTCTCTATAGTTATAAATTACTTGGGAGTAATATAGCATTATTGCGTTATTTTCGAAATTTTTTCTTCTTATTAAATATCAAAGATCATTGATATCATTGCTCTATATAGTGTACCAACCTGGAGGTGAGGCACCAATCTCTTCAACAAATAAGCCGATATCAAATAGATGGAGAATACTGATGCCAGATGGGTCTACTGAAAAATATCCTGCTCCCCGAGCCCTTGCTTCCCATGAAATACCTGAGATTGTTGAGCAATATCGTCAGGCTGCCATGAATGCAATTCAAGCAGGTTCGTCCTCTTCTCATGATTGTTTAGCTGGTGTGTGTTTGTGTCACTGCAATTTATAGAGTGTTTCTTGTCAATTTGTCATGGTCTTCAAGGCCAACTTGAAGTATACAGTGTACAATTTAGCAATCATGGTCGATTAACTTGCAGAAAATTCAGCCATATAATACTTCAACTGTCATTATCAGGTTTTGATGGAGTGGAGATCCACGGAGCCCATGGCTACCTCATTGACCAATTCCTAAAAGATGGTATCAATGATCGCACGGACGAGTATGGTGGGTCCCTCACTAACCGTTGTAGATTCTTAGTTCAGGTGGTTCATGCAGTGGCTACAGCCGTTGGAGCTGATAGAGTTGCTATAAGGATCTCACCAGCAATAGACCACCTTGATGCCTCAGACTCCAATCCTCTTGCACTTGGACTTACTGTGGTCAAGTGTCTCAACAAACTCCAGTTAGATTTGAACTCACAGCTTACGTATCTTCATGTAACTCAGCCTCGATATGTTGCATATGGCCAAACCGAGTCAGCTAGACAAGGGAGCGAAGAAGAGGAAGCTCAGCTTATTCGAACTCTAAGGAAAGCATATCAGGGATCTTTTATGTGCAGTGGTGGGTACACCAGGGAACTTGGGATGGAGGCTGTGGCTCAAGGGGATGCTGATTTAGTCTCTTTTGGGAGGCTTTTTATATCAAATCCTGATTTGGTCGAAAGGTTTAAGGTTAATGCTCCCTTGAATAGATATCTTCGGAAAACATTCTACACCCAGGATCCTGTAGTGGGTTACACTGATTACCCCTTTCTTGGTAAAGATAGCACCGATAATAAGGTATTGGCTCGTCTATAGTGTACCTCTGAATATCTCTGGTATTGTATGATAGTTAGACTTGCAATTGGAAAGTAATTCAGACAAAATAAGCTTATATGAGTTCATGCTGCTTCAATTCTGAAATCTGAAGTAACTGCAATGCTATCATCAAATTCTCACCCTTGATATTTGGAACAGTGTCTTGCAGTATATTACTATTGTCCCAAATGATAGGCAACATTTCTGCTTTAGTCTTTATCAAAGTAATAGCTACTTACTAATTTTAGTATATATATTAAACGTTGCCATGTGATCAAAAATGATATCTTCAATTATGTAATGTTTTATTCTGACTGTTTTGGGAGTAATATAATCTCTTGTTCTAAACCTAGCCTACTTTTGTAATTAATTTTCCTCGAGATCAATAAAACTACTATCATTAGTTTGGTGGACTTACCCAATGCACATTAGTGAACCATGCTAAATCCGTGTGTTCTTGTTGGGATAATTCATCCCAAGTTCCACATGGAAGGAGTAAGGAGGTGAGTGCACACTCCATTAGTATGGGTTTTTTGGAAAGGTGTCCATAAACAAATCCGTGCGGACTATGCTCAAAGCGGACAATATCATACTAATGTGGAGCGAAGTGTGTGTGCGACCCGTCAAGGTGGGTGACTCGGGCCTAACAAGTGGTATTCGAGTCAATGGTTCGGCGAGACAGACACGAATTTTATGTGTGTGGGACAATTTCCTTAAATGTGTGACCTCGTGATTGTGGTGCCTTGCGTCAACAGTGCTCTTGATATTGTGGCTCAGGCGGCGTGTCCAGTGATGATAGTGGCGGTGCTAGATAGTTTCGCTAGAGGGGAGGGCTATGAGATATGTGGTCCTTGGTCTGAGGGGAGGTTTGTTAGGATAGTTTATGCACACTCCATTAGTATGAGGCCTTTTGGAAAGGTGTCTAAAAACAAATCTATGCGGACTAAGCCCAAAGCAAACAATACCATACTAATGTGGAGCGAAGTGTGCGTACAACCCGTCAAGGTAGGTGACCCAAGCCCAACAGTTCTTAATTGTTGGTTTCTTTTATCTTTCTTGCATTACAATGACAAAACTACCGTGGTGAGTGATAACTCACAGTCTCACATATTAGGTCTTGTAAAATTAAGTATCCATTCTAGGTAACTCAACTGCAGCTAATATACAAACTTACAAAGTAGTTAAGACACCTAACACAATTTACCAGAGATCTTTCAAATTTTGTCAATAATATTTTTTTCCATCCGACATGGTGATGTAGTAGAGACGATGACAATTAATTTAGATGTTTCAACTGTTAACAGTGACATTGGAGGTAAATCGAAATGAAAACTTGATTAGCCAAATAAACAAGATTCAGCTGCATCATGAAATGACCTCTAAAGTTTTTGAACATGAAGCACCAAAACAAAGTACAAAGTCCTCTGAAAAAAAAACCAGTGATTATCCATGAATACTGGCCCCAAGGACACAAGGTCTTTGCCCAGGAAACTAGTGCTTCAAAAGGTAGTTTGTACCTAGTATATATACATGTCAAAATGACAGGAAACCATGAATTTCTTCTACATGTTCAAATGTGTAAACGCATCACTTCAATCTTCAGAAAAGACTTTTTGCATTTATTGGATCCCATGGAGAGTTTTGACTCGTCTGAGCAATTAGTGAAGTTTCAACACTTGTTGCTTTATCAATATCTCCCGTAACAGCGTGGTTCAATCCACCAGCTTTAACTATATTAACGTTCATCATATGGTTAGTCACAAACTCAAAAACCAAAGTGTCACCAACACCAAATCCATATGATTTTGTAAAATCAATCCATCCACGGCCTAATCCAACACGACCATCTGATTGTCTGGTTCTAACTTCCATTAGCCATTTCTTTCCTTCTGGATCACATAGCACTACTATGTCTTTGTTCTCCAGCTTCTGCCTGATGGCAATTGCCTTCGGAATATGCTGCACATCAAGGGAGTATAAGTTTTCAAGCAAATTCGGCTGATATGCTGTTGAAGAGAAAAAGAGAAATTGTCCTATGCCTAAGACACATGTTTAGCAACATTAATTTCCATCAGACAATCAGAGGAAGTCATCTTAAACCCAAAATTTCACAAACGATGACCATATCCGTTTCAACACCTGATGACAAACTATTCATCTAACTGACCGGCTAACATGCTGACACTGTAGCAAGAAAATTAACATGCCATGGCATGCACAAGGTTTCTGACATAATACTTGAGAAAAAAGGGCAAACTTAGAGAACTTACCAAATAAGAATTTCTTGTTTTCTCCGTCCAAGTTAGAGAGAATGAAGGGCTTTTCGATTCCAAGGAAACTCTCTCATATTTATCCATGGTTCCAGGTGCATTATTGATGATACAGTTAGCAGCAAGCTCCTCATTTTCACCTAATACACATGATCCGTTCTTAGGTACTTCTACATATCTGTATTTTTTATTCTTTTATCTATTTTGATAATAGAGGTCTTTTTGTTTGCAGATTATAACTGTCCAAAATCTTACAGAGAGAATAGGATCAATTCAGGGAAAAAGAAGATTGTATATTGCAACAAAACTCACATGTCATATTAATAAGTTCCATGGGTTCAATTTTGCATTCTTGTTCTCTTTGAGAAGGATTGTCAACTTGAGAAGCCCGTCCCACGTTAACTTGAATCACATTATTTGACACAAACTCAAATTTCAGTGTGTCACCAGTTACTAATTCATTGTCTACCACAAACTCCCTCCATCCTTTTGCTAAATCTACACGACCATCTGCCCTTATTCTCAACTCCACTGGCCAGCTACTTCCTTCCTGGTTCTGAAGTGTTACTGTGTCTTTGTTGGATAAAGGCTTCCCATTTAGCATCGCCTTTGGAATTGTCTGCATATCAACTTGTCTTCAATTATGCTTTCCATTACTCAATTCTTCATAAATAATGTTAAGTATATAAATTTAGATTACGCTGTATAAAATCATAGTCCCTCTATCCCCATCATGACTGTACTAAAAATTTTGGGTTAAAAATCACATATATGGCTGTCATTTTCTTACAACTTTTTGAAATGGTTGATTTTAAAGTTACACTGGCATGGTTTGATGACTATGTCACAGTAACTTAAGTACTTAACGATATTTCACTTATTCTGACTTTTTGTTATCGAAAGTTAACTAATAAAATTGGCTAGAGTAGCACACACTCTTGCTTGGGTGCGCTCAACAACACAAACTTTAAATGGAGCAATGAACAACACGAATTTTAGGGGTTGGGTGTCGCAAATGACATAAATATTTTCTGGTGCTAGAGATTCCACTACGTTCCGGTTTTTTTTTACTATTTTATTTTTATTAAATTAACCCTCTCCCCTTCACGTGGCTACTATATTCTTCGTGATTGTCTAATTGGGATTTGTCTAAGGTTGAGGCAATTCTTTTCTTCAAATTAAACAATAATCGACATCCACTTTCATCATCAAATAAGTTTCAAAACATCAAATCTAACCAAGCTCCAGTAGGCTACGTAGGACCCCAAAACCTCTGGTTTAATCCTTTCTTCCCAAGTAAAGTCACAACTTTAATGAAATGATCAGTTATAAGCACTGAAACATCTTCAATTCTCTGTTTTTTTTTCCTCATATGAATAGTCACATGAAGGGGAACGGGAGTTAATTTAATAATAATAAATAAAACAAACTGAAATCTGGTTGAATCTTTGGCACTGGAAAACACTTGTGTCATTTACGGCACCCAACCCCATTGCTCCACTTAAAGTTGTGTTGTTGAGAGCACCCAAGTAAAAATTTGTGTTGTTTCAACCAATTTTGCCTAAATACTTCTTCATTCTTTTATATTTCCTAAAATGTAGATTACAAGCTAAAAGAATGGGGATGGGGTTGATACAGTTTTAATATGAAAGTAATTTACCAGATAATAAGTTAAGTGACTGGCCTTTCTCCAGGTCAGAGAGAAACACAAACCATGTTTAGTAGTTGACAATATACATTTTTTCCTCGTGCTCCTGTCAATAAAGGACGGCTGCATCTGATATGCTCCATTTTGAACAGCTTACAACACACCAAGACACCGAAACAGTTCTTAGGTCAGTATCACAACAGGTAAACAATTAGAGCTGCTTCTTACTCGGAAATGTAAGGTGAACTAGTAGTAAATCAACTTACAAGGTGGTTTAGACCATGGACTTGCTTCTGCTTCTTTATGGATTAGCGGAGTTTCTGTTGGAGATTCAAAGGCGCCAACTTCATACCTTGACTCAAAATTTGTTCCTACTGAATTTTTCAGACCAATACACCAAGACGCCAAAAGCCCAAAACAATTCTTTGATCATCAAAATCAAAACATGTAAAACAACAAGAGCTGCTTCTTACACAGAATTGCTAGCATAAATTGACTTACAAGGTGTTGTAGGCCATGGACTTGCTTCTCCTTCTTTATGGGTTGACGGAGTTTTTCTTGGAGATTCAAAGGCTCCACCTTCATACCCTGCCTCATGAGTTGTTCCTACTGTTTTTTCAGACCCATCTTTCTCATAGATTTTCACTTGGAGAATTGATGGTTCTTCAAGCTCGAAAAGCAAGAAGTTTCCAACTTCCACAGAATGTGCTTTCACAAAGCAGTCAAAGCCACAACTGAGACACAAATTGCCATTTTCATCCTCTTCTATGTCTACCCTCCAACATTTTCTGGTTCCAGAAATCTCTAAGATGAGCCATGGTGGTATGTAATCTTCAAAGATCTTAGCGAAGGCGGGCGGTAATGGCTACAAGAACAGATTTGAAGCAATGTTAAGTTATAGTAATGTAAAGTTATAATAATTGTTGGTTCATGACACCCATGGTTATTACTGTTAGCAGAAAGTCAGATAATCAGTTCAGGGTTGGGTGGAAGGGTAAGGAGGCATATATCCAAACATTTCATCCCCCTTATCCCATTGGGAGCTTCCTTAGAGATTTTTGCATGAATTTGATGCTATAAAATCAAGATATCTAACTAAAAATGTAGAATCATCAAAATTTCAATCAACTATTCTTTTTGGACAGAGTCATAATTCAGAACTCTCTCGTAATTGTGCTATCTAAATTTAAATGCTTTGAGTTGTTAAAAAGGTAGCTGTCTAATGTGAAGTATTCATTTTATCTTGTTAACACAACAAAATTATTTGAATATAAAGTCATTTCATTTTAAATCATTGCTATTTTCATCTCCCCGAAAAAATAAAAAGGATTTATATATACACGACAAGTGAGAGTAATTGTGCTAAAATGTCTAGAGAGCGTCTGTAAACTTTAAATGCCTGAACTCAGGTTACTTTTAGCTACACTTAG